ATCCTATTTAAAAGAACAAACATTCACTCCTAGTGCCGTATATGAGCTTCCATTCAAAATCACCATTGAAAATAAGCTAAGAAGTTTTCAGTTCAAACTCATCCACAATATTCTTCCAACCAAACAACACCTTTGGAAAACGAATGTTAAATCTTCTCCAAAATGCGAACAATGTGATGCTTCCTGTGAAACTATTAGCCATATATTTTAAGAGTGTCCTGCCATAAAATCTTTTAAGAAAAAGTCATAGCCGGATTGGTGGAATCGTAAACGTTCTGAAAACATAAATCCCAATCCAACGGAAGCTCTTTATGGATACAAACCTGAATCTAACAGCTTTCATTCTTTTAACCATTATCTCTTAATTGCTAGATATTACGTTTACTTGGCTAGAAACAAGTTTGAGACCCCAAAACTGGAGGTTTTCATTGTTCTCCTAGAAATTCAAATCCAGTGCGAAAGAGAAACTACAATAACAAACGGAAATCTTGACAAATACAGAAATAAGTGGACCACCCTGTGCATTTCTGATTAGTGTTGATTTATAGTAATTTAGCAAACGCGCGCTATTGTTATTTTTCTATTTGTTTTTCCAGTTGTTGTTAATCTGTTGAACTTTCGTATTTCGCTTTTTGTTTGTGTGTTTGTTTGTTTGTTTGTTTTTTACTGTTTCTCCTCCTTTTTTTTCGCCCTGTTATTGTAAGGTTTATTGTATATAATGTTATGTTGAATGATGTTAAATAAAAAAAATAAATATATAAATAAAAAATAGGGCCTCATCGTCAAATTTTTTGTTTAATCTTATATTAATAACACTTCTACAAATGATCAGTTTTATTTATATTAACAAGTTGTTCAGAATACTGAGAAGTTAATGATCTGCAGAGTATGGATATAACAAGCTTTGAAATCTTGTTTTCTGTTTCAACTTGGATTTTCCAAATTACCTTCCTTGAAAATGGAGATGCCAAAACGCCGTTAATTATTTGTAGCCATTTTGACTGAACAAATAAAATGAACCTCGACTCTTTTTTAGTGAGAGTTGAGTTATCTCAGGTGATTCATTTTGTGCGAGGTTCGAGACATTTAAGCTCTTTAAGTGGTACTCTTGAAATAAAGATACCTTAAAGCCATGTGCAGAACCAATCCATCAGGTCTAGCCCTCGTAGAGACAAAGAAAGGAGTTACGTAAGTAGTGGTAGAGGGATGATTTAGGCTGTTTTGGTGTCTAGTAGGTGTCTAGCAAGGTCTAACTAGGTCTAATCAATGACGTCACCTCATTAGTAAAACATATGTGTGTGGTAAGTGTCTAGCCACTGTTTTCCTGCATACTAATTTAGTGCCTTCCGTGTGTCTTCCTCAATCGTAATAAGTGTCTTCTTCCTCCGAATCTAATGAGCGTCTCTCTTATACAATAGGAACAATAGGCTTGCCTAGGTTTGCCCGGTAAGTAACTTGAGCCCGGTTTGTCGGATCTTCTATTAAAAAAGTAGGAATAAGAGGAGCGATCACCTAGCAACGCGAGAAACGGCTTATGCCCAGCGAGTGCAGTTGTGGGGGGTACTTGGGTTAATTTTGTTGGGTATGTGCCGCTGGTCTCTCAGAGCCTCTACCCAATTATAGTCTATTCTGAGGGCAATTATAAACCCCATCTTAGTCACTTTTGGGCAAATACGTAATTTGCGCGACCCAAACTGAGTCCGCTTTTCATTTATGTATCTACCCTATATTCAATGAACAACACTTTACTTTCACCTACAGTATACAAACATTCTGGTACGTTTGCTAACCGTAAATATGAAGAACTGTCTTACCCCCAAAATCAGAAAATGTGCGCTAGTAACTCTATTGAAAATGCGGCCCCATTATAGTCAATCCAGTTGTGAAAATGCGACTTCATCCGGCAGCACATTCCAATTAGCCTCTTAGAAGGAAGTACCCACCCCCGCTTCCCCCACCCTCCACTGGGGCTTATGATTTCTATTTAGCGCTAAAAATCGGATATAAACAAAACACACACTCAAAAAGTGGAGCTGAAAACTCTTTACTTCAATTTTGACTATTACAAAAGCATTTCGTCCGTTCTATCCTCGAGGAAAAGACTAACGATTGAAGTCTCGGCGCTTTTGTGAGTTTATTGTCTTGCTTCACGCGCCATTAGTCATTTAATTATGTGAGTTAACAAGCCCACATTTGCATAAACATTGGTTCAGCTCTACAAGAAAAACCCCAAGGGAGAACCTTGACTTATTATTATAAAAACACACACAAAAAACAATAAATAACTTAAGAAGGATTAATTGGAACACGCGACTAATAAATGGTCGCAATAAAACCAGACACGTTTCTTTTAAAGACACAAGAAGTCAACTTTTCGATCCTTTAATAATTGCAAACAATAAAATACTCAGTGATTTTAAAGAAATCTATTAAACAGACCAAATAACGAAAATCGTGCTCTTTTTTACACAATGCAAAATCTTTTGCTTACCCCTCCCCTCCTCATTTTTTGGTTTCTTTTTGTTTCCCTCCTCCTCCTCATACGTTTGCAGAGTTGATACCCTCACAGGTATACGCTTTTAGTATTTTTGAATGTTCAGATTGCTATAATTTTAATAAAAATAATAGAGTTTAGTTTCTGACAAGTTATACGACAAGTTTTAGCAACGTGTTTTTCTGATGATTCTTTAATTAAGAATCTCAGCTTGGACCCATTTACCTCTTGCGAAATCGACACCGGAGCGTGAAACGGTCCTCTTCGTTTTTGCTCAGAAACAGACATTTCGACGAGTAAACTATATCAAGAGAGGATAAAGGGGCTAAGAGAATGAATCCCCCATATAGACCCTCTACCCATCGTCATCCCTCTAAACGTATTTTTAGACCTTCTCTGCGGTCTGTTGTTCCCAAGGAGGTTGAGGAGAGGAGGGAGGAGGAGGTGCGAACGCGAAACAGCCCGGATGACTTTGAAGTAACATGTTTTTAAAGAAGCAGAAAAAAAAAAGAAGGAAAACCGGCTAGGAAAAGAAAGACAGTGGTTGACATCAATGGAAATACATATATCCTATATCTACCTACCGCAACCACCTAGCCCCCACCCACCCCCCTGTCCCTTCACATTTTTCATATGTAGTCCAGAGTCCAGAGTCCTGAGTCCAGGGTCCAGTCCTGATTTTCAGCCTATGCCAAAGCCTTATGACCTCTCAATGTCAATGTATGACTCCACAGAGACTCATTAGAGCGGCCAAATTGAGATTTGCTCAGTGAAAAATTAAAATACTCCATGTACTGCACAACCTAGGGGTTAAAAAGAAAAAAGAGGAAAACCGTTGTTGTTTTGAAGCACACTCTAAGGCGGTCACGTTTCACACTATCACGAGCTTATCGAACGTGTTTAGCCTGTCAACACTTTATTTCAAACTTAATTTCCTTTGTGAATCTTTTCACCGTTTTCTGTTTCTCAATGCTCATGCCAACTTTGATGCATGCTGAAATAAAGAAAAAAACTCTCAAAAAACGATTATCATTTCGCTTTAAGAGAGGATAACTCTCGCACTCCCGACATACTTTTGCAATTTTATTACTCCACGAAACTTCCACGCAACGTGCGAGGAAATATTATCCGCGGGAAAACCGATACGTTCGAAAAATAACTTTAGAGTGATTACGATGGGTAGAGTGCCTATATGGGGGATTAATTCTCTTAGCACCTTTATCCTCTCTTGACTATATGGTGTTTGTATTATACTTAGTGAAGTCTATTTAACAGTACATAAATGGACATGCAACGAATCAGATTTTTTCGGCATACCCGAATTTCATTCGATGTTCACACAGATCTACTCTTAAAAAGTGAGAGATTGTCTAAACGCTCAACAGAGCTTGCTTGATCTTCTGCCTTGTAATAATGTACTAGGTTATGTGTATGAATATGTATGATAAATAAAGGCACTTCTTATCGTAAATGTATTTCTAAGATTTGTGCTGCTTATTGTCTACCCCCATGTAGCTCTAAAAAATTTGCTATGGAAAAAGAGGAAACAGAATTCAAGAAAGAATGAGGCAACGATAAAAAAAAAAACATTTCTTCATACATCAAGCATCCGGACCTTCAAGAAGCGATAAACTTGTTTTATTAGAACTTTGAAGTATAAAAAATGACAGAGCGAATGTCAAAAAATATAGATGGCTTCGAAAAGCATCTTACAAAAACCAAAAAAAATAACAGCAGAACAGAGGAAGCACGTACTTACAAAGACCTCGGCAATGCTTATCAATCCCTCGGCAAATTCCAAATAAATAACCACAACAAACACCTGAGTATTGCCCAGGAAGTCGGCGACAGGGCCGGAGAAGGACGTCCCTATGGCAATCTCGGCAATGCTTATGACTCCCTCGGCAAATTCCAAGAAGCAACAAATTACCACAACAAACACCTGAGTATTGCCCAGGAAGTAGGCGACAGGGCCGAAGAAGGACGTGCCTATGCCAATCTCGGCAATGCTTATCGCTCCCTCGGCAAATTCCAAGAAGCAATAAATTACCACATCAAAGACCTGAGTATTGCCCAGGAAGTCAGCGACAGGGCCGGAGAAGGACGTGCCTATGGCAATCTCGGCAATGCTTATGACTCCCTCGGCAAATTCCTAGAAGCAATAAATTACCACAACAAACACCTGAGTATTGCCAGGGAAATGGGCGACAGGGCCGGAGAAGGACGTGCCTATGGAAATCTCGGCAATGCTTATCGCTCCCTCGGCAAATTCCAAGAAGCAATAAATTACCACATCAAAGACCTGAGTATTGCCCCGGAAGTCGGCGACAGGGCCGGAGAAGGACGTGCCTATGGCAATCTCGGCAATGCTTATGACTCCCTCAGCAAATTCCAAGAAGCAATAAATTACCACAACAAAGACCTGAGTATTGCCCAGGAAGTCGGCGACAGGGCCGGAGAAGGACGTGCCTATGCCAATCTCGGCAATGCTTATGACTCCCTCAGCAAATTCCAAGAAGCAATAAATTACAACAACAAAGACCTGAGTATTGCCCAGGAAGTCGGCGACAGGGCCGGAGAAGGACGTGCCTATGCCAATCTCGGCAATGCTTATCACTCCCTCGGCAAATTCCAAGAAGCAACAAATTACCACAACAAAGACCTGAGTATTGCCCAGGAAGTCGGCGACAGGGCCGGAGAAGGACGTGCCTATGCCAATCTCGGCAATGCTTATCGCTCCCTCGGCAAATTCCAAGAAGCAATAAATTACCACAACAAAGACGTGAGTATTGCCCAAGAAGTCGGCGACAGGGCCGGAGAAGGACGCGCCTATGCCAATCTCGGAAATGCTTATCACTCCCTCGGCAAATTCCAAGAAGCAACAAATTACCACATCAAAGACCTGAGTATTGCCCAGGAAGTCGGCGACAGGGCCGCAGAAGGACGTGCCTATGGCAATCTCGGCAATGCTTATGACTCCTTCAGCAAATTCCAAGAAGCAATAAATTACCACAACAAAGACCTGAGTATTGCCCAGGAAGTCGGCGACAGGACCGGAGAAGGACGTGCCTATGCCAATCTCGGCAATGCTTATCACTCCCTCGGCAAATTCCAAGAAGCAAAAAAATTACCACAACAAAGACCTGAGTATTGCCCAGGAAGTCGGCGACAGGGCCGGAGAAGGAGGTGCGTATGGCAATCTCGGCAATGCTTATGACTCCCTCAGCAAATTCCAAGAAGCAATAAATTACCACAAGAAACACCTGAGTATTGCCCAGGAAGTCGGCGACATGGCCGGAGATGGACGTGCCTATGCCAATCTCGGCAATGCTTATGACTCCCTCGGCAAATTCCAAGAAGCAATAAATTACCACAACAAACACCTGAGTATTGCCCAGGAAGTCGGCGACAGGGCCGGAGAAGGACATGCCTATGGCAACCTCGGCAATGCTTATCACTCCCTCGGCAAATTCCAAGAAGCAATAAATTACCACAACAAACACCTGAGTATTGCCCAGGAAGTCGGCGACAGGGCCGGAGAAGGACGTGCCTATGCCAATCTCGGCAAGGCTTATCACTCCCTCGGCAAATTCCAAGAAGCAATAAATTACCACAACAAAGACCTGAGTATTGCCCAGGAAGTCGGCGACAGGGACGGAAAAGGACACGCCTATGGCAATCTCGGCAATACTTATCACTCCCTCGGCAAATACCAAGAAGCAATAAATTACCACAACAAAGATCTGAGTATTGCCCAGGAAGTCGGCGACAGGACCGGAGAAGGACGTGCCTATGGCAATCTCGGCAATGCTTATGACTCCCTCAGCAAATTCCAAGAAGCAATAAATTACCACAACAAAGACCTGAGTATTGCCCAGGAAGTCGGCGACAGGACCGGAGAAGGACGTGCCTATGCCAATCTCGGCAATGCTTATCACTCCCTCGGCAAATTCCAAGAAGCAACAAATTACCACAACAAAGACCTGAGTATTGCCCAGGAAGTCGGCGACAGGGCCGGAGAAGGACATGCCTATTGCAATCTCGGCAATGCTTATGACTCCCTCAGCAAATTCCAAGAAGCAATAAATTACCACAACAAACACCTGAGTATTGCCCAGGAAGTCGGCGACAGGGCCGGAGAAGGACGTGCCTATGCCAATCTCGGCAATGCTTATGACTCCCTCGGCAAATTCCAAGAAGCAATAAATTACCACAACAAACACCTGAGTATTGCCCAGGAAGTCGGCGACAGGGCCGGAGAAGGACATGCCTATGGCAACCTTGGCAATGCTTATCACTCCCTCGGCAAATTCCAAGAAGCAATAAATTACCACAACAAAGACCTGAGTATTGCCCAGGAAGTCGGCGACAGGGCCGGAGAAGGACATGCCTATGGCAATCTCGGCAATGCTTATCACTCCCTCGGCAAATACCAAGAAGCAATAAATTACCACAACAAAGATCTGAGTATTGCCCAGGAAGTCGGCGACAGGACCGGAGAAGGACGTGCCTATGCGAATCTCGGCAATGCTTATCACTCCCTCAGCAAATTCCAAGAAGCAATAAATTACCTTAACAAAGATCTGAGTATTGCCCAGGAAGTCGGCGACAGGGCCGCAGAAGGACGTGCCTATGCCAATCTCGGCAATGCTTATCACTCCCTCGGCAAATTCCAAGAAGCAATAAATTACCACAATAAACACCTGAGTATTGCCCAGGAAGTCGGCGACAGGGCCGCAGAAGGACGTGCCTATGCCAATCTCGGCAATGCTTATCACTCCCTCGGCAAATTCCAAGAAGCAATAAATTACCACAACAAAGACCTGAGTATTGCCCAGGAAGTCGCCGACAGGGCCGGAGAAGGAGGTGCCTATGGCAATCTGGGCAATGCGTATCGCTCCCTCGGCAAATTCCAAGAAGCAATAAATTACCACAACAAAGATCTGAGTATTGCCCAGGAAGTCGGCGACAGGGCCGGAGAAGGACGTGCCTATGCCAATCTCGGCATTGCTTATAACTCCCTCGGCAAATTCCAAGAAGCAATAAATTACCACAACAAAGACCTGAGTATTGCCCAGGAAGTCGGCGACAGGGCCGCAGAAGGACGTGCCTATGGCAATCTCGGCAATGCTTATGACTCCCTCGGCAAATTCCAAGAAGCAATAAATTACCACAACAAAGACCTGAGTATTGCCCAGGAAGTCGGTGACAGGGCCGGAGAAGGACGTGCCTATGGCAATCTCGGCAATGCTTATGGCTCCCTCGGCAAATTCCAAGAAGCAATAAATTACCACAACAAGCGCCTGAGTATTGCCCAGGAAGTCGGCGAAAGGGCCGGAGAAGGACGTGCCTATGGCAATCTCGGCAATGCTTATCACTCCCTCGGCAAATTCCAAGAAGCAATAAATTACCACAACAAAGACCTGAGTATTGCCCCGGAAGTCGGCGACAGGGCCGGAGAAGGACATGCCTATGGCAATCTCGGCAATGCTTATCATTTCCTCGGCAAATTCCAAGAAGCAATAAATTACCTTAACAAAGACCTGAGTATTGCCCAGGAAGTCGGCGACAGGGCCGGAGAAGGAGGTGCCTATGCCAATCTCGGCAATGCTTATCACTCCCTCGGCAAATTCCAAGAAGCAATAAATTACCACAACAAAGACCTGAGTATTGCCCAGGAAGTCGGCGACAGGGCCGGAGAAGGAGGTGCCTATGCCAATCTCGGCAATGCTTATCGCTCCCTCGGCAAATTCCAAGAAGCAATAAATTACCACAATAAACACCTGAGTATTGCCCAGGAAGTCGGCGACAGGGCCGGAGAAGGAGGTGCCTATGGCAATCTCGGCAATGCGTATCGCTCCCTCGGCAAATTCCAAGAAGCAATAAATTACCAGAACAAAGACCTGAGTATTGCCCAGGAAGTCGGCGACTGGGCCGGAGAAGGACGTGCCTATGGCAATCTCGGGATTGCTTATGACTCTCTCGGCAAATTCCAAGAAGCAATAAATTACCACAACAAAGACCTGAGTATTGCCCAGGAAGTCGGCGACAGGGCCGCAGAAGGACGTGCCTATGCCAATCTCGGCAATCCTTATCACTCCCTCGGCAAATTCCAAGAAGCAATAAATTACCACAACAAAGACCTGAGTATTGCCCAGGAAGTCGGCGACAGGGCCGGAGAAGGACGTGCCTATGGCAATCTCGGCATTGCGTATCGCTCCCTTGGCAAATTCCAAGAAGCAATAAATTACCACAACAAACACCTGAGCATTGCCCAGGAAGTCGGCGACAGGGCCGGAGAAGGACGTGCCTATGCCAATCTCGGCAATGCTTATCACTCCCTCGGCAAATTCCAAGTAGCAATAAATTACCACAACAAACACCTGAGTATTGCCCAGGAAGTCGGCGACAGGGCTGGAGAAGGGAGTGCCTATGGCAATCTCGGCAAGGCTTATCATTCCCTCGGCAAATTCCAAGAAGCAATAAATTACCACAACATACGCCTGAGTATTGCCCAGGAAGTCGGCGACAGGGCCGGAGAAGGACGTGCCTATGGTAGTCTCGGCAATGCTTATCACTCGCTCGGCAAATTCCAAGAAGCAATAAATTACCACAAGAAAGACCTGAGTATTGCCCAGGAAGTCGGCGACAGGGCCGGAGAAGGACGTGCCTATGCCAATCTCGGCAATGCTTATGACTCCCTCGGCAAATTCCAAGAAGCAATAAATTACCACAAGAAACACCTGAGTATTGCCCAGGAAGTCGGCGACAGGGCCGGAGAAGGAGGTGCCTATGCCAATTTCGGCAATGCTTATCACTCCCTCGGCAAATTCCAAGAAGCAATAAATTACCACAACAAACACTTGAGTATTGCCCAGGAAGTCGGCGACAGGGCCGGAGAAGGAGGTGCCTATGGCAATCTGGGCAATGCGTATCGCTCCCTCGGCAAATTCCAAGAAGCAATAAATTACCACAACAAAGATCTGAGTATTGCCCAGGAAGTCGGCGACAGGGCCGGAGAAGGACGTGCCTATGCCAATCTCGGCATTGCTTATCACTCCCTCGGCAAATTCCAAGAAGCAATAAATTACCACAACAAAGACCTGAGTATTGCCCAGGAAGTCGGCGACAGGGCCGGAGAAGGACGTGCCTATGGCAATCTCGGCAATGCTTATGGCTCCCTCGGCAAACTCCAAGAAGCAAGAAATTACCACAACAAGCGCCTGAGTATTGCCCAGGAAGGCGGCGAAAGGGCCGGAGAAGGACGTGCCTATGGCAATCTCGGCAATGCTTATCACTCCCTCGGCAAATTCCAAGAAGCAATAAATTACCACAACAAAGACCTGAGTATTGCCCCGGAAGTCGGCGACAGGGCCGGAGAAGGACATGCCTATTGCAATCTCGGCAATGCTTATCATTTCCTCGGCAAATTCCAAGAAGCAATAAATTACCACAACAAACACCTGAGTATTGCCCAGGAAGTCGGCGACAGGGCCGGAGAAGGAGGTGCCTATGGCAATCTCGGCAATGCGTATCGCTCCCTCGGCAAATTCCAAGAAGCAATAAATTACCACAACAAAGACCTGAGTATTGCCCAGGAAGTCGGCGACAGGGCCGGAGAAGGACGTGCCTATGGCAATCTCGGCATTGCTTATCACTCTCTCGGCAAATTCCAAGAAGCAATAAATTACCACAACAAACACCTGAGTATTGCCCAGGAAGTCGGCGACAGGGCCGGAGAAGGACGTGCCTATGCCAATCTCGGCATTGCGTATCGCTCCCTTGGCAAATTCCAAGAAGCAATAAATTACCACAACAAACACCTGAGCATTGCCCAGGAAGTCGGCGACAGGGCCGGAGAAGGACGTGCCTATGCCAATCTCGGCAATGCTTATTGCTCCCTCGGCAAATGCCAAGAAGCAATAAATTACCACAACAAACACCTGAGTATTGCCCAGGAAGTCGGCGACAGGGCCGGAGAAGGACGTGCCTATGCCAATCTCGGCAATGCTTATCGCTCCCTCGGCAAATGCCAAGAAGCAATTAATTACCACAACAAACACCTGAGTATTGCCCAGGAAGTCGGCGACAGGGCCGGAGAAGGAGTTGCCTATGGCAATCTCGGCAATGTTTATGACTCCCTCGGTAAATTCCAAGAAGCAATAAATTACCACAACAAACACCTGAGTATTGCCCAGGAAGTCGGCGACAGGGCCGGAGAAGGACGTGCCTATGGCAATCTCGGCAGTGCTTATCTTTCCCTCGAGAACTTCCAGCAAGCATGGGTATGTTACAACCAACTCCTGAGCGTTGTCAAGGAAGTCGGAGACAGGGCCGGAGTAGGAGGTGCCTATGGCAAACTGGGCAGCGTTCACTTCTGTCTCGGCAACTTTCAACAAGCAATAGATTATCAAGAGAAAAGCCTGAGCATTGCAAAGGAAGTTCGCGACAGGTCCGGAGAAGGAATTGCCTGTTGCAATCTCGGCACGGCTTATTGGTCCCTCGAGGAGTTTCAACAAGCAATAGATTACTTAAGGCAATATCGGAGCATTGCTGAGGAAGTCGGTAACAAGTTCCTTGAAGGAGACGCGTATTGCAAGCTGGGTGGTTGTCTTTTTGAGTTAGGTTGTTGGAATGAAGCTTTATTTCATTTTATAACCAGCGTAGAAATCTTTGATGCTATCAGGGCCAGTTGCATTTCGGAAGATGTACTGAAAATTAGTTTTCGTAATCTTTGTAAACGTGCCTACACTCGTTTATGGCAAGTTCTAGTAATGCTGCAATTGACGGATGAGGCTTTATACGCTGCCGAGAAGGGACGAGCACAGGCCTTAGTAGATGCGTTGAAAATAAATTATGGCTTAACATCCCTTTCGCTCAAGTCAAATGAATCTGAAGAAGAACTCACAATCATTTTAAAGAAGATATCTTTTTCGACAGTTTTTGTGGCAGTTCAAAAAGAAACAATCAATATGTGGGTCCTGAGGAAGGAAAGGAAAGCTATTTTTAGGCAAGCAGAGCTTAAAGTTGAAAGTGCGCACGAAGATTATTTTGCTGTACTTTTAGAAACTGCCTTGAAAAACATTAGGGCTGGCGTCGATGTTCGGTGCGAGAATCGGTCATTGGATGAGCGAAAGGATAACCAAACTTCCAGCACTGAAAAGGATGATCAAACAGCGGAGCTGTCGGACGACGATACTATCGACTGTTTTAAGCCACTGTATAATGCAGTCATTGGTCCCATTGAAGACTTGCTTGATGGTGATGAACTCACTGTAGTCCCTGATGGCGCTTTGTCCTTAGCTCCGTGGGCCGCGCTAAGTGAATCTTTAAGGATCCGCACAGTTCCCTCACTGACAAGTCTGAAATTCATCATAGATTCTCCAGATGAATACCATTGTAAAAGTGGCGCCCTGCTTGTTGGAGATCCATGTCTGAAGAAGGTTACAAATAAATGGGGTCATCCTATTTATGATCAACTGAAATACGCAAAAAAGGAAGTGGAGATGATTGGAGAAATTCTTGAGTGCCAACCACTGACGGGAGAAGCAGCGACCAAAAAAGAAGTTCTTCGCAGAATAAATTCAGTTACTTTGGTTCACATTGCAGCACACGGAAGTAAAGAAACTGGTGAAATTGCTTTGGCTCCAGACCCTTGCTGGGAATCCAAGATTCCTGAGGAGGAGTATTTTTTGAGAATGTCTGATATACAAGCTGTTAAAGTGAGAGCCAGGCTGGTTGTCCTTAGTTGCTGTCATAGTGGTCAAGGAGAGGTCTCGTCTGAGGGTGTGGTCGGTATTGCTCGGGCTTTCTTGTTTGCTGGTGCTCGTTCCGTGGTGGCGACACTCTGGGCAATTGATGACGAAGCAACCCTGGAGTTTATGAAAAGTTTTTACCAACGCCTGAGGGGTGGAGAAAGTGCTAGTTCTGCTCTTCAGAGGGCCATGAAATGTCTCCGGGACTCGGACAAGTTTTCTGCCCCAAAGTACTGGGCTCCATTTGTACTGATTGGTGATGACGTTACGATTGAATTTGATGAAATTAACCGCGAAAGTCGTAAGTAGAAAAAGTTTTTCTTTTGTAAATTTTTGATTTTCATTGTCTCGAACCCCAAAAACATAAGTTGTAAAAATAAGAATCAAAAAGCATCTTTTAAAAAAAAATTAAGATAATCGGCAGTTTCGTTTGTAACTAGGAAAACAAGTGCAAATCTTGAAAAATAAGAATGCAATGGGTGGCTATTGTTCGATTGCTATGGATTCATTCGATATGATTCCATTCGTTCCAAACTGTTAACAATTAAATCAATAAAACATTGAACACGCACTTCAATGTTCTTAAAGAATCTGACCACCCACTTTGCATTTCGGGCCTATGTTATTGTTATTATAAGGGATATGATTATGATACATGCCATTATTTAGTCAAAGATGAACAATTCAAGACATCAGCGAGAAAATATAGCTCCAATATTTCACAAATGCCAGTTACATAGAAAATTGAATAACAGTGAAAGTATTTTTGGACAAATAGGGAGCCTCAATGCAAAAAACGTAAACTGCCACTTATAACTCCCCCCCACCCCCTCCCCCGAACGACCCCGAGTTATGGGACCATCTGCCTGTAAACAAAACAATGCATCTGATTATAAGCCCCCTCAAAATGTATTGAAATTGATTCGATTTATGCGATTTATTATGGCGTTTTGAAGCTTAATTAAAACCAGTAAATGCAAAACGTACTTTGATCAACACTGCTATAACTTATTTCGAAGCGCTTTTTCTATTCTGGGGATAATCCCCTTCGCATATGAACCTAGCCTGAGTATCAGGCGTTTCTGGGGGAAAAGGGGAAAGATGGAAGCGAAAAAGTGAGAGAGCTAGCCTAGCCCCGTAGGAAGGCCTGATACTCAGGCTAATATGAGCCCCTCCGTTTATAAGTTCTCCTAAAACCCCTTGCGAAGATGTATGAGCCCAGGACTTAAACGCTGCATTTGAAAAGGTTGAATTGGATTTTCGGGCAGTGAAAATGCCGATTGACATGCAAAGTGACCGGATCAGATACTTATCAACCTATTTAGCGACGATGTTCATAGAAGATGATAATTAATGATTAACGTCTTCGCTTTTTGGTTGGTAGATTTGGAGGTCAGCTGTTTTCAAGAATGATATTGCTTATACATCTTTGGACAGCTGTATGGAAGCTAAAGGTTTTGCTATGAGCTCCAGTCAAAGTTTGATTTTACTGTGTACAAGGCTCCTATTTTATTTTATCGAGAATGGGAAATAAAATGATTTATAAGTTGGATGACTTAATAAAAAAGACATCATGAAAATCCTCTCGGTTAATCTATAAGTGTTCAAATTTTGCCTTATTTTGCTGTCAAGTCTCAAGTTTATCGCGTCCTCGAGATCGTGCACTAATTGAAGGCGTTATTTTTCGGAAGTGTATTAATGCAGTATATGTTATTTTCTTCAGGTACAGAGAACGCTGATATGTGATGTCAAAAAACTTCTGAAAGAGTGTCTGTGTTTACACATACAAAAAAGGCTTCTCGTTTAAGAGACTGTGGGATTACAAGAACACATTTTATTGCCAGAGGGAATTTTACTATCGATAGGTCATTTTCACAATAACGTCATTTTACTACTACGGCTAGAATCCTTCAGGGTTTTGCTCTGTCGTGCAAATTAGGGCTTTTGTTGTTTAATATAAACCTCGCTAGGATTACCAAGATTAACTCTGAAAGGGAAAACAAACAAAAAGGATTCTGGTTCAAGTAGTAAAATCACCAGATCGTGTAAATGGCCTTTTCTAAATAATATTTAATAACTAAAGAAGAAAGGTTTAGTGTAACCCCAACAACTTAAGACTAATGGAACAAAGCAGCATTTAATAAATACGTAAACGGCAGTTTTTGACATGTGCTGCTTTTCGTCTCATGTTAGGGAATCCAAAACAATCTTGGAGTCTGGATTCCAAGCCGTGGATTCCTGATTCCAGGCACTTGATTCCAGTTTTTTCTAGAGGAACCTTGGATTGGATTCCAATCCTTAGTAGGATTCCGGATTCCTTGAGCTGTATTCTGGATTCCAAAGCCCAGGATTCCGGATTCCACAAGCAAAAATTTCACGAATTCCATAATCCGGATTCCCTCACATGGCCGATGCTTTTGTTAACATTTTGTTATATATCGTCAATAATCATTTGACCCCAATGCAAGAGTCATGTTGATCATAATCATCAGCAGATGAATAAGAGAGTGTAGTCGTGACTAGGACTATTGATGACAGTGACTGAGCATCAAAGTGAATTGTATATTGTCAAACTCTGGCCCTGATTTGTCAACAAAGCCGTGATGTTATTGGTCGTCAGTCAATAACAACAAAATACTATTGTTCTAGAAGACTCTAAGTTCGAATGGTGAGTTTCGATCAGATCCGTCGTTTTTCGCTTTGACATCTGTCACTTTATAGTTAGTCCAACGTTCGGGTTTTGTTCAGTCAGTTTGTTCAATTTTTGACTTTAGATTAATGTTTGTATTTGTAACGCTTTATTGGAAAGCATAAGATAAGCTAAGATAGTCAGTCCAAACTAAGGATGGAGGGCATCCGTAAACAAGTTTTTTTTGTTTTGTTTTTAAAACTTTAACCAACAGCGTTAAATATTTGCACTGAACACGCGGTATAAATTTTTAAGGCCATGCCCACACTAATGGGTTATCAAAACGGGGGCACCCAACGAGAATATAGTTCAAAACCACTTAAACAAAGCATTGTTAAACGTATTTTGTATTTAAACGGTAGATATAGGCATATTTTTATCCCCTAAAAACTTTACATCTGTTGGGGATTTCCAAGCTGAAAGTCTAATGATCCGAAAATTATAGGGATCCAAACTTACCTTTTCGAAAATTGCAGCCAGAAAAAAGGCTCCCGAAAATTCTAGGTGACCTTTTAAGGGTAAAAAACTGTTAAAAATGGCATGGGCAATTATACCATTTTTCAGATGTTCGAAAACCCTAGGAGAGGCCGGCAAGCAAGAAATTTTACAACAAATGTTCCGAAGATTCTAGATCTCAAATAGTCTTCCGAACACCGAACAGATATTTTCCGAAAAATTGACGTTGGGTGCCCCAGATCAAAACGCCTCCGGTTTTGGCGATCACGAAAACGGCAACGAAACTATGGATGTCCATACTTGCGTTTAAGTTCCGTTTTCTACAGTCAATAGTAGTACACTAGGGATGAAGATAAGCCTTGCGATGGATTAGGTGGATTAGGTGCCTATGGATTAGGTGGATTAGGTGCCTAGTCAATGACGTCACAGCATACCTTCTTGCATACTAATTTGGATTAGGTTTACTAATAAGCGTCGCTCTAGTACAATAAAAAACAATAGACTTGCCCAGAGTCGCCCGGTCTATACCCACCCTGATTGGTTCATGTAGAATCTATTCTATCTTCCAAATAAAAGCGCGCTCTCAGTTCAGCATATTACTATTGCAATCACTTTGCTAAGGAAACAATTTGTTCGAGTTCGCTTGTTTGAAAAAATTCTGTTCACTTTTTGAGCATCATGGCTTTTGTTACCAACGTTGATGAGTTTCAAGCTCTTTTGGATGGCTGTTTCTTAACCCGCGATTTGGAATTATTGCTGGAATCTATTTTGATACCCGATGAGTGGATCCCAATGGCGTATGCTCGGCTGTCGGAACTCACCGCCCAAGAGATACCTGTAAGTATTCTATTCCCTCTCTGAGTTCTTTCCTGATGACGATTAACGTTTCATTTGTACGGTGAAATAACGAGTATTCATTAATCTTTACTTAACGTTCTACTCCACAGATTGAAACGAACCAGGATAATGGGAGCGATCAATCCAACGAATTTTATCAGCGCGAGAATGTCGTAAGTATATTTTGGTTAAGTTTATGTCAGTTTAAGTTTAAATAGAACATTGATCTTTAGTCTTTCTCGTTTACTATAGATGCCAGGGAAAGTTAACGCGGGTGTTGAAGTCAACGAGATACTGAGCGATTCGGTAAGTTTTGAAAAACGACCTTGAGTAATTTTCTGTAACCGAGTTTTCACGCATCATTTATGTTCGTTATGTTAATAGACTCGACTTGGGTTAGATTTGCATCTGACCTATTAGCCCGCTCGCGTATCTTTTGTTATCGTCGTTAATGAATCAAAAGGACTTATAAACTCGATTTGCTTCAACGTTTTGTAGACAGTTGTCATATAATACTCATCGAATATGTTTCCTTGCTTTACAGTTTACAACTGAAGAAATGCAGACCGTCAATGAGATGGAACGTATGGCGCTAGATAAGGTAACTCCATTTCCTTTTTAATACGCAACGTAAATGATTTGTTTAGTGTTGAAACAACATTACGAATCTCCTTATTCGTTCTATACCCACCTATTTCTTTAAAACAGGCGAGATTTCAAAACCTAAAGTAATCTGATTTCTTCTCTTCTTATCTAGAACAACAACGAGTCGGCACCGTTATCAACGCAAGATACATGGGATAATTTCTTGGACGAAGTAGGTATTCATGAGCATAGAATTATTTTTCTTTCACGGAATTAAGTTTGCGCTATTAATTGTTCAATCACTTATGTGTATATTTGTTATTCATTTTCAGTGGACTGGCGAAACCAGTGAATTACCGACTTGGAACCCGTCGGAAACCGTAAGTAATCTTTCATGTTCACTTGATTAGAATACGCTGAGTGCAAACGTTCCTATTCAAGTTTTTTGAAATGTATACCCTTTGAAAATTAAATTGTCTAGGCTCACCCCCAAGAGACAATATCATTCATTCCATCGTTTATAAGAGTTGGAAGACTATAAAACTTACAGTTGGCTTGGTATTTATGATTTCAAGGCGTAAATAGTTTATTCTCAGTTATCGATTCCGCTTTTCACTGATCAGATAAGTGAATTCGTTTTTGCGGATGATTGCACCCATATTGAAATCTATTCTATTCTTTTGTTGAAAATAAAAAACAAAGTATTTGCTCAATGTACTAATATTATTCAATCATCAAGCTG